AAAATAGATCAGATATGAATTTATAAAATTTAAGCAGGCAAATTTGCCTGCTAAAACTGGACGGTTTAAGGGATAGGTGGGCAGATTAGTATAGTATAGGTCAATTTTTAGATCTATACTATATGAACCAGGCATTATATATATGTATGAGCATTAGTATATTTTTGCAGATCCATATAGTATAATTTTAAAAATCAGCCTATACTATACTGATCTGCTCACCTATACCATACTGATCTGCTATAATTTCATTTCAGCATTATCTGCAATATTTAGTAATATCTAAACTTTCATTTATAGTATCATTAATTTGATTTGAATTATTGCAATATTCATCAGAATTATTCACAAAATATTGTTTATCATCTTTGTCATTATAAAAACATACTTTCATATACTTAAATAATCTATTGTGAATGGCAAAAGTGCATGGGCAAATCTTGAATATCAACATAACATTTTAGGGGTTATGTAGTTTGTTGGTTTAGACAAAGTATTTTCTTAATTTAAATTAGTAATATACACAGTTAAAGCAGTTTAAATAAAGTACTATATTTATCTGCCTTTTCAAAGTCCATTTTTTGATTTATACCCAGGTATTATACCTGTAAAATATACTTACAACAGCTTAAGGATTGATCTTTGTTTTATATCTAGATATTATATATAGGTTGGCATTTGCATGTATAGCAAATTATTTGCCAAATTACTGCCGGCAAATTAAAATCATGATTTATAAGAAGGTGTTAGTTAAATTTAAATAAACATGTTTATATCGTAATATATGAAAAAATAGCAAAGAAATAATTTTATAATTATATGAGCTTGCTGAATATTTGAATTGCTTGTTTAACTAACAAATTGTTATAAACCGGTCAAAATTATTGAACCAATTTTGTATTTTTTAAATTTAGCCACTTTATTAAAATTTGAATAATATTATAAGCTACTACATTCAAAGTAAAATTAAACTGAATTCAAATATTATTCCCAAACATTATCGAACTCAACTTTTTTGTATTCATCCCTATTAATATTATCAAGATTCAATACTTTTTCTGAAATTTTATTATTTGCATCCACTTTGTCCAATAATTTATAATCAAAGACCAAATCATCTTCTGATCCGTCCATTTCTACTGAAATACTACAGTATTTAAATGTGCTTTGAATTAAATGAGGGCTAATTTCATCTTATAATTCTTTTACCCATAGAGCTAATATGATATATGATAGCTTTTGATATATCTGGAAGATGTTAATTAATAAATTATATTGATCATCTATTTATTATAGTGGCAATGCACCTAGATAGGTTTTAAGTTATTATTAATATACTTAATTTATATAATATGCAAGGCCATTATTTCACAAAAATATATAAATAAAAATATTTAAATTTTTATTATACTTGATGCTTAAAGCTTTTGTTAATTGTGACATCAAGAGGTTATAATTTACTAGTCATTTCATGTGGAATAACTGCAAGATGTGTGTTTTTTTTCACTAAATTAATACTAACTGAATCTACTAAGTGATCTTTAAAGGCATCCAAAATGAGAAAAGATTGTAGATTTCCTAATGGATTATGCTCAGCTCAACCCAATCATATATCACAAGTTCATTATACTATCCTTTTTCATTTACTTTAATAATAATGCCTAGAGGAAAAACTTCATGGTAAACATTTTTTAACTTAAAGATACGTATAAGTAAAAGCTTTGTACTATCTGCAAGGCACCCAAGGATCACAGTAAAGCATGATTTTTTATAACCAGTTGTTCTAATGCTTACTGCCTTTGCTCTACATTTTTTAAGGGTTACTGGGCTAAGTATATCAAATGCCAAAGAAGTTTTGTCTATGTTACCAATATATTTAATAGAATAGTTGTACTAATTGTGTTTGAGCAGTATTAAATTAAGAAATTCACTGTTTTTCAACTAGAATCACCAGGTGTTGCATAACAGTTGTATATCTATAATTCGAAAGATTATTACAATATAAGAATCAACTTAACCAGTTAACAAAATATTTAAAGCTAGAAATATTAGAGTAGATATTTTAATTTAATCAGTCTGGGCCAAAGCCTTAGCTTTCCTTACAACCATATTTCTAGTAATGGCATTCTGCATACTGCAAAGCTCTTCAATTCAATTTACTAACTTTTTTTCCAGCTCCTGCTTCTTGCCATGCCAATCACAAACTTGTTTTGGTTCAATTTCAAAGCATTTTGTAGTTGCTCTCACATTATTAATCTGCTTCAAATAACAAAGGACTATTCCCTAAACTGTAGAGTTTGTATAACAATTTTAGTATGAATTTAGTTATGATTTATTTTTTTTAATATTTAAAATATTTAAAAAAATTTTAAGTTACTTATAAGCTAAAAATAGAGTATTTATTTAGTTAAAAAAGTTTTTACTATTTTTTGATAAACTCATTAAATATTGATTTTAAAAATATAATTCTTAATACAATATTAAAGTTTAGATTAAGGATTACAAACTTTCATTATTTGACTTTTAGTGATTAACTTGTAAAAATTAGTACTTGTATTAGAAGTAAAGATTTTTTTATAGGGAAAACATATAAAATTTAGAAGGTTTAAAGAAAAAAATTTTATAATAAAAAATTTGAAAAAAATGGTTAAACTTTTATTATTTAAAAGTTTTTTTATATTTTTAAAAAAATTTCTTAATAAAGTTGAATTTTACTAAAACGCACCTATGGTGGTTTTACACCGTTTCTCAAAAACGTACTAAGTAAATGGGATCAGGTTCTCTAAGTAAAAATGTTCGGGACCTTCAAAAACTTTATGAGAACTAAGATCGGGCCCTATCGGGCCCTTATAGTAGCTCTATAATATATTATATATAAAAAAAATAATTCTTAATTTCCTAACCCTAACTCTAAATTTTATTAAAAGAAATTATACATAGGTGTAAAACCACATAGGTGTGTTTTATAATAATTCATAAAGTTAATAAAATAGGTTTTAAAATATATTTTTTACTTAGTAAATATATAGCTAAAATTAATATTCAAAATTTTAAAAATTAAAAAAATTAGTAAAAATTTTCACAAGCAAATTTGTCTGTGTTACAAGTTTTTCTTTAACACTTTATAAATGATAACTTTTATTAGTAGCATGGATACATCTAGTATTTTTTTGTAAAAGTATCAAAAAGTATCTTAAGGTTTGAAGGTTTTTGCTTTATATTTTGTATTTAAAGCTATGTTTGTTATAGAAAAATTCATGTTCAAAAAAACATTTATTGCTCTTAGAAAAGTTAAAAAAAAATTAAGCATGTGTGAAGAGGCATATGTAAAAAAATTAGTTTTTTATAAAAAACTTTACAAAAGTTGTAAAAAAAAAGTTCTAAAGTGATACACGTATTATAAAAGATTTGAGTTTAAAAAACCCACCCACCTACTTTTATATGAATAGTTAAAAAAAAAAAGCATTTTACAAAGGTACTTTAATTGTATCTAGGGGCATTCATATAAAAAAAAAAAACCATCTTTATATGAAGTCAATGAAGTCAGGTGTCTTTTTTTTAAAAAAATATTTTCCAGATGGTCAAAGGCAGCCAGAATGCTGGTGGCATCTTTTTATTATAATTGATTAATAAATAACTTTCTATTTACAAATTAAATATTTACAGATTTTCTATTTATTCGATTACTGGAGGAATTAAGACTCAATGCCTTAATTTCTCTTGTGATTCTACTACTTATAATTGTTGGAATCAACATTATCTTTACCCCATTTGGCGTTGGTATACCAACACCAAATCTCATAGGTTGCCATTGCATTTAGCCATTGTGCTGTTGTATAGTATTTTTTTTGAAGAAAGTTGTTCTTTGTGTAGATGTCCTCTATAGTGTTCGGTATCGATAAGTTGTCTTGTACCTTCAAGAATTTGTAGACTTCTGTCCAAATAGATTTACTAACTCTACATTCTACTACAAAATGTTCTGGGGTCTGAGTACTGTCTTTACACCACAAGTAAGCCCCTGATTCTGAAGGAAATATCCGTTGGAGTCTGTAACCCGAGGGTAGGGCCCTAGAACTAATTTCCATAAAATATCTCTCTTTTTATTATTAATACCTCTACATGTAATCCAGTCAGTTGGCATGTTTTCTTTGAGTATATAAGTTGGAGAGATTATTCCAGCTGAACTTCTCAGAAGGTTCACTAAGTCTTTAGTTCAGAGATCACTACTTCTTTTCCCTTTCAAATATAGGATTTTCTGTAAAGGCTTGTAAAGTTGTGATATTTCTTTTATCCTGTAAAGATTGTGTAATCCATAATCTTTCTATTTTGGCCCACATGGTATCTCCTGATATAAGCTTTATTCAAGTTGTAAGCATTCTAGTCTCAAGCATGTTTCCTACTATTGGTGCCTTTTTCATAGAGAAGCTGATAGATTGAATAGCTTGGGAGTAGTGTTCCAAATTGTTAAAATTTTACCAACCGGTTAGTTGCCAACTATAGTTGGCAACTAACCAGTTACATATATCACGTGATATTGTCAGATATTAGCCAATCAAATCCAAGAAATCATTCCGAATTATCCTGAATAAGCGGAATATCTCAGAATTATATTAATTGAATGATTAGTTGGTTAGTTGATTAAAAAATTTTCTAACCAGTTAGTTGGAAAGTTGTCAACTATTCAGTTTTCTAACTAATGATTTGAAACACTACTTGGGAGCATCTTGGAGTTCTCCTTGGTCCATAGAGCTATTAGATTATTTATTTCTGATATTTGTTTTTTGCTCAGAGGGAGAATGTAGGCTGTGTACCAGATGCGAGAAAGTATTAGTGATTTCACGATTAGGATCCTTCCTTTGAAGGAAAGATTTCTTGCTATGAGTTTGGAAAGTATGTCTTTGAGTTTGGTGATAGTTGATGGCCATAAGTTCTTTTTTGGTTGCCCATTTGCATATATTTCATATCCTAGTAACTTAAAGGTATCAGATTCTTCTATAACCTTAAAATCGATTATGTCCAGAAGGTTTGCTCTTCTTGCTATTATTGTTAGTGGAACAATTTGTGTTTTCTGATTGTTAATTCTTGCACTTGAGGCTCTTTCATATAGATCAAACAGTCTATATATCTCTAGCCAGTCTGATAAGCTCCCAACCCCTATTGAAGGTCATCTGCATAGGCTATAGATTTGAATGTCTGATTGTAGGAGGTATACCTTGAATGTCTTTATAAACCCCTTTTCCAACTCTGAACAGCTCTGAAAGCATGGTAAATAGATTCCCTACCAAATTTTTAAATTTCAGATTAAAGTTCATCTTTTCAAGGACTAGTTGTAGAAAAGTATGATCCACATAGTCAAAAGCTTTTTGCTGGTCTACTAAGAGCAGCCAATATTGCTTAGTAGTAGTGTTCCAGATTGTTAAAATTTTCCAACCGGTTAGTTGCCAACTATAGTTGGCAACTAACCGGTTATGTATATCACGTAACTAATTTAACTGGTTAGTTGGTTAGTTGGTTAGTAAGTTAGTTGGTTGGTTGGTTATTGTATAAGATAGCTGTACAGCATGTGATGCCACACAGGACCAGATTAGAGTGTCCAGGATTATGCGCCGGTAATTGCAAAATTATGCGTGTGGCAAATCATAAATTATGCGAATTATGCGGACCCCAGGATTAGAGTTAAAAGGTTTTGCTGACCAACCAAATTTCAAGACCAGCTG